TTTGGAAGAAAACAGATTGCCATAAGGAATGGAGCCCCTGTTAGAGCCCAGTCTGGAATGGGCTCTCTGAAGGCTGGATGAGGCAGCCCTTTGGTGCCAGAAGCAGAGGATTCCAGCAGTGAATTGTGTGCAAGGATTCTGGGAGCAGGCACTCAGGTCAAGTGGCAGGAGGGACATGGGAGGAAGGAATGGTACTTTAGGCCAGAGCCCTAAGCACACGGCCTGTACATTGAAGGCCTGAAGTGGTGGCAGGAAAGGAGGGGAGTGTGCAGGAGGCCATGGAGATGTGCTGGGAATGTTGGGGAACACATTGCAGGGAGACATTCTGATGGAGTTGGGGTGGTGGTAGGCTGGTGAGGATGGAGGCATGAGGCAGGTCTGTCTGGGATGGGGAGGGACAAGGACAGCTGGTTGCCAGGGCTGCTTCTCTAGTGCTGTGGTGGTATCTGACCTCGTGGGCTGCCTTAAGACTTCAAAGAAAGGTGGGTGGATAGAGGGTCCGATGAGTCAGTTGGTCCAGGATTTGCTAACTATGGTCAGAGTACCCAACATACTCATGAGGAAGAATCATAAGCCTGAGCTTGGCTCCTGGTGGCCTCTCAGAATGAGTCATTGTATAGGTCTGAGCACCTGTCTCCAGGGCCCTTCTGCTCCTAGGCAGGTTGTGTGAAGACCTGGAAGTGGTGCTGGTTCATCCTGACAACTGCCTCTACTACTTTGATTGCACCTAAGGGGGCCTCAGGAGCCTCTGGGTAAGGGCCCTTAAACAGTGGCCTGCTGAGACTGCATATATGCCTTTCCTTATAGGGCAAGGATCCAAGGGGCATCATCCCACTGGAGAACCTCAGCGTCAGAGAGGTGGAAGACCCACAGAAACCTGTGTGTGGTCTCCATTTGCAAGTGCCTCTTTTTTGCCTCCTTGCACTAAGCCCTGGCTGAAGGTGTCCTCCACTGTGGAGGACCATCTGGGCAACCCTCCTTAAAAGAAGAGCAATTGTCTCCGTTTTGGCTGTGCCTGACCCTATTTCCATCAATTGACATACAGGGAGCTGGCTAAAACATTTTCTTATCCTTCATTTGGCTTTAAGCAATGCATACCAGTCTAGCTGAGGTGCCGGTTGTAGTCTTTAAAAATGACAGGTGTGTTTCCTAGAACCAGCTGTGGCCCCAGATGCACACCCTGAAGCCTGTGCTGCATGTGGCCTGGATCGTGGTCAGCTGTATTTCCTCCTGCTGCCATCTGGCCCAGAGCCTTGGCTGCTGTGGCACTGCAGCAGTGGAAGGAGGTTCCCTGTGGGCATCTGCTGATCTCGCCACATAAAACAGGACCACTCAGACAGTGGCACTGACCATTCTAGAAGTCATGGAAAAGCTACCACTTTTTAATTCAGAATTTTCTCAGATATATAGGATTATAGCTTTTATATGCCATTTTATATTCTGAAATTATAATGAAAGATACTTTCTAACAGTAGTATTTTTAGAATGGCAGCTATAAATATGACTCCCGGACACAGGTACATACTGTGCACTGAAGAAAAAATATATGCAGCACCCAGAGAGAGGGCTGTGGGGTACTTGCACATGGGTGGGAGCTGCAGGAGGATGCGCCAGTATCCTCAAGGACCAGTAATCAGGGGGCTGCAGCTGTGATAAGCCCTGAAACCTCCTTTCACATTTTTTGGCCCTACCTATACTTTCTAAAACCAGTCATTAAGATAAGTTATGGTTTGGGGCTGTTTGCCCTAGAATGGCTGAATGCTATGAAAAGGAGCTCTTGGCAGATCACCCATAGGTTGAATCATAGGAAACTACTTGTCTCTGATCATTTCCGACCCACATGAACAGCAGTTCTGCCTGGTTCCATGGAACACATAGGTCAGATCAGCTTCTGATCACATCTGTTACTACTTCAAACCTTCAGGAAAATTCTTATCTCCCTGGCATGATCAGATGTCTCATGATTAACTAGACATATAAGTAGCTGGGAGTAGTCCATCGTCTCCCTTTTACAGTACCATGATCTCAGACCTGAGCTTCCCTGGTGAGGAGGAGAACAAGCCCTGGCTGAAGGTGTGTGGCACTTAGGGCTTTCTGTGAACAGCGAAGAGCCTCAGATCTAAACTAGGATGGGCTCACCTTGACATACAACAGAGGCACTGATGGCCCCACCATTGTGACTGTCAGAACTGGGCAAGGATGAGGGCACTGGGTGACACAGCCTCTTTCCTAGGGCCCTTTGGGTTGCCCATGCATTAATACCTGGCCCCTTTTTAGCTCCAAACATGGGCTGTTTAGTTGGCGATTCCTGCCCAGACTTGCTCCTACACCCTATCTGTGCTGGCACATCCCAAGTTTGCACCCTTTGGAGGTTCTTTCTATTCCTTTGCAAAAGCAAGCCCAGGAATGAAAACCCCAGACTGAATGCTCTTATGCAGAAGTAAGTCTTCCCATGAGCTGCCTTGAGGAGGAGACTGTGCAGCCCTGGGCTCTTTCTTTCTGGGTGGCTGACCTTAGTGTGTAGTTTTACGTCACACCAGATTGCAAAGGGTCCAAGGCTGAAACTCCATCATGCATTAGACTGATTTTTTTTTTGTTTGTTTATTCCCAAGTTTCTGTGCTGTTACTCTACTGATACCTCAGACCTGAAACTTTTAGTGTTTGAGTAAGGCAAGTCAGCCACCTTGACGTGCCTGACTGGTGCATATGCAACTTGGCTCTCATCTGTCGTGTGCAAGTGCTGCCCAGACCCGGACCAACCACAATGCCTCTATGCTGCAGCCCACCTTTGGGCCAGCCCTGCCAGGGACTGCAGCAGGGTTGGGTCAGTACTTCACACGGAAATGAGTAGCTTCTTCTCTTCTGATCATCTAACCCAGGTATGGCCCTGGGGATGTGGAGCTGTTTTAGGGTATTTACAGAAATGAGCATGGAGTGCCCTGGTGGTGAATCTTTGTAAGTCAGCTCTGCCCCATGGCCGTTCACCCAGGAGCATGCATGAAGGTCCTGGTGTTCAGAATCTTACGAGACTTGCCCTATCAAGAGTGTTACATTGAGTCACCCAACCCCAGGTTTTCCTGTGACAGTATTAACCCTAAGGGCATCTGCCAGCATGCTGTGGCCTCCACCAGGGACTGCACACTGGGACCCCTCCCACTCTAGGATGCTGAGGCTCAGTCATGCTCATCACCTCTCCCTGAAGGGCTGCACTCAGTCTTGAGTTGTCAGTCCCAGCCTTGACTAAAGGCAGTTTCCTATGGAGACACAGGATGGCCCACAGGACCCTGGGCGGGAGATGGCAGCTCCACAGCCCCCAGCTGTCTTGCTGGGCCCTGGTTACCGTCTGATGTTTATTTAGACTGACCCACACAAGCCCCCACAGCCCCGGGTTCCTGACACACTTTCAAGTAGTTTAATTTGGCACCAATGGACTCACTGTAAAAGCTGTGTATAGAAATTCCCAAGTTCTGATTTCTAGGGGGTTTTTTCTCTGAAAGTTTTATTTACCTAAACATATAATATACATATATTGATTTATGGAATATTATTATAATGCATATGTCTCCTAGAACATGTATGAACAGTCTATTGATACCAAAATATCTGATATTTTGTTGCAGCGAACAGTACAACTGAACAGTGAATGGCTGTTAAAACTCACAATGTTGTCTTTGCTAAATAAAAATCATGTGTTAAACCAAGGTTGTCTAAGACTTGCTTCTTCAAATCAGAGATGTGCTGGGTCCAGCAAAGGGCCACCTGATTTTCCCTGAGTCATCTCTGAGGTCTGAGGTGCCTACTGGGATGGTAGCCATAGCTTTGTAGGCTTTAAGGAAAGTGAACACAAGGACAGAGTAGACATGGCTAGAAGCAAACAGGGAAAAAGAGAAGTAAAAACCTGACACAGATTGTTTAATTTGCTGCCATTTATATACTATATAAATTTTACATGCTGTATATTTACAGTGGGGCAAGTGCTTTTTTAATCTTTAAAAAAACAAAGATCAAACTTTAGACATCTCTGAACAACACAAACTGTATAAACCATACAGATTATTCAGATAGAAACTGTATTAAATACAGTTTTCCCCACTCCGTCTCCTGATGCAGGACCAGTGAATTATAAGTGTATCACAGTTTGATAGCATATCCATATTAAAAATAAAATCACAGTATGATTTTGTCTGTAACTAGAAACTTTAAGGGACCAAGCTGACAACTCAGACTCCAATATCATACAGTTGACAAGACACAGTATAAAAAAGTGTTATGTAATAAAAACATACTGTAAGCTTTACAAATAATGTTTGGATTATACATTCATAATGTGAATACTCATCATAACTGGTAAGTTGATTGGAATAGTTCCACAAAGTTCAAAAACAGAACTTGTCTATAAAATACATTTTCAAATCTTGAATACAACTAAAATATGAAGCAAATTAGTTTCTAGTATCAGACATTACAGAAAACAGACTGCCCTCAAAGTCAAGTTGAGAGCTTGTAAAATTTTAAATAAGTCTTTAAATTAAATACACGCACTGTCAGTTTGTACTTTTAATAATTCCATGGTTTCCCAGTTGGTCTTGCACCATCAGATGTCTAACTTGGAGGAACATTACATGAAATACAAGTAATCAACCTGAGTCTGTAATTAAGCAGCATTTGAGATGTTCTATTCCAGGGCATTATTTCAATGTGATTTATATACACGGTATTTTACAATGGTCAGCAGTTGTAGAAAGTGTTCATCCTTTTGGAATAAGGGCAATTAAGAAAAGATAAAAAC